GATAGGACAAATATCAATAACAGAGCATGAAGTTATGTGTATTCAAGGCATTAATAACTAGATTGAAATGTGAATGGAGAGATAGCTTAGCAAGCAAGGCATCAAGGATGGTAGAGAATAAGAGTAGTACATGTAAAATTGTCCAACCCGTAAAGGTACTGTTTGCTGCAAAATACAGACTATATAAAAAAAAATGAACGACACAAATACTGAATCGACTCGTGCAAAAACACCATTTCCTGCATTTCCGGGACAAAGTACCACTACTCTATTGTAGAAAATGCAGAATCTCATTAATTGATGTTTCAAGGTAACCGACAACAGAAACGCAAAAAGAGAATATCAAACTTTGTTTACGGCAAAGGAATCTACTATTTACAGATAAAATGGTAAAAAAAGGCGGGTAAGAAAATACAGGAGAGACAAACCTTGTCCCCAGTACGTCATCGATGAAACTGGCCATATAGCGCTCCGTTTGCCTACATGGCACTTAGTGAGCTTATGAGTGCTTAAACTAAAGGCCATGTGGTTAGAAATAACACACCTTTCAAACTTATTAATACCATAGCCGCCTTTGAAGAGTCTCAATTTCTAATAACGCTTGCTTTCCAAAAGGCCATGTTATTAGTATAATGCATCGCCGGTGTATGCGACATTTCTTTCAGTGAAAATAACGATAGGACTAGATGATTTTGACACTGGCGAGAAATCGAACTAGGAAAATGACGGCAATCTTTTAATGGATTGGAAAAATATATCTTTAGTGAAAAAGTTTGTGAACGGTGTATATAACTCTGTCATTATGTCATTACGTTATGATACTTATATTGCATGGTCATTTGTTAGTTATGTGTAAATGAAAATTGTATTTATATGTTATTTTAATCTCGAAAAGGAGCGTTTGTCAAAACAATCAAATTATGTTTGTCATAGGACCAAATATTAATTGACAAATGGAATAGTTGTTATTTTTTATTATGTTGTTGTTGTGTGTGTATTTTTATATATGTTTAGAAGGCCTTATTTAAAATTTTGTATCTTCATGTGTTACCTTAAATATAGATAGTATTAATATTATTATCATATCTTGCTATCGATAATGAAAGTGTGGATAATAAGCAAATATACAAAACAGTAAAAATAATCGTGTTTTTATTTTTCAATGACGAGCATATAGAAGAACGTAAATATGTTGAAACGCTATGTTTTATAATACAATTGACGTCACGTCAAAATATATGCACGGCCGAGCAATACCAATTTTACGGAGTTGCAAAAGCTGCACAGGTATGCGATAACTAGCAATACTTGGTTCCTTGTTTAAATTATATATTGAATAAATAATTATTTATTTGTTTATTTATCTATTTATTTATTTATTGTTTTTGGCTTGAAGAATGGTTGATAATGTTTAGTTTTAAATTTAAAAGTACGTTTATTCTAGTTATATTTGATCATAGAAATTATAACTATATATCTACATATGTATTTTTCATAAAAAAGAACAAAATGTTTCTAAACGTATATTCAGGCACAGATTTTACATAAAGAAATTTATGGACCCTCTTTACTCTTCTAATGTTGCAATTTTCATGAAATTCGCACTGTGATAAAGTTTTATCCGGGACTTGGAAATTTCCTTCGGTGACATCTAACACGTATAATTCATCATCACATATTAATGCTGTTAGCCGGACAACAGTTTATGAGCGGCATAGACGCTCTTCTGACGGTAAAACTAGTATCAAAGATGATGAAGTTCGAGGGTGGGAGGGAAAAATTCGTACGACATTGACGTCATCGGTCGCTGAGGAAATATACCGAGACAGACAAGCACTTGTTGTTTGATAACAAGGTCAGCCACCTAAGTAACAAAAAGTAAACAAAACCTGAAAGGAAATGTTTAACCAGAAACGTACTTTTAACGGCCAGTTTAAGGTATAATAAGAGTAAAATAAGTTTGTTTTATTTACTACATTGCTAAGCTTTTCCACACCCACTCCGTTTCATTGACAGCATTTGTTTACCATGCTGATACGATATTCAGTAAATTCAGCGATAATATTTAAACATAACATTATTGTCTCATCTTTAAATTAACGTACATTCATATCCTGTCATGATTGATTGTTTATATGTTCTTATATATGTCATTTTTCTTCATAATCAAATATTGTCTGAAATTAGTCCGCCATTTTGTGTAAACTATAATTATATCGTGACGTCACTGTTAACCCACTTTTTACGGGAAACCCTACTTTCATTTGGACGTTTTGTACACAAAGGAATCATATAAATAGACCGAATTTTAATTAAAAGGAATCATAACGGAAAAGATAATTGAAAGAGATAGCTAAAATAGATAACAGAAAAGATAAAAGATATAAATTGACTAACACTATTAGAAAATGAAAGATAAAGATATAAAGGTATTCTAAGAAATATTTATTTGTCCTAGAAAGCTAGCACGTAACAATGTATTTAAAATGTAATTCAGTTTTAATAAACAGTTACATATGATGTAAATACATGCTTTATGATAAAGCGATCAGGATTATTTATTTATTTACTTATTTATATATACATATATATTTACAAGTATTATTTATTTTTATTTCGCAGGTCCATGCGCTGGTAGCGCACCTTCTGAAGAAATAAGAAATGGAGCAACGCGTACGGGATTCAGGAGCTATTATCAAAAGAGTTGAGCGAGATATTGACATGTTCCTACAGCGTATCATAACCACTGAATTCAAACCTGGTTGTGAATTCATGTCCCTGAGACGAAATCACAGTCAGCAGTTTGGAAGCTTTGTGAATCCTCGCCTCCTTAAAAGGCCCGGATGGAAAGATGATGTTTATTATGTTTGCAGACATCCGTGGTAAGATTTTAATACAAGTAGTAGTCACAGGCTGCAGTACCGAAGGGAGAAACTGTCGATGCCGTCAATGCTGTCAAAACTAAAACGGAGCATGAAAAGAGGGTTATAAGAGAGCAAGAGAAAGAAGAACGAGAAAAGAGAAGAGAGAGAAGAGGCAGCGAAAATTGCCAGGGATGAACAAAAACGAAAAAGGAATAAGGAAAGAGAAGAAAAATAAAAACAAAAGCAAATATCGACAGTGTTTTGCTCGAATGTTTCGAGTTTTTTCATTTGTGACTAATTGCAAAAATGATTAGCGTAATTGAATTGGAATTCAGAAAATGACTCGCCAAACTTTACATCAAGAAAAATTATCAGTGAAGGAAATTGTCTTCTAAGCCCCCCCCCCCCCCCTGCACACACACGAAGATTAAACAAGCGACTTACAACTTACCTTTTAACAGAAAAAAATTGAAAGATTTATTTTTAGTCATATAAAGTAAGTACACGTTTAATGTCAATTAAATTTGCTTTTGATGTGTTGTAGCTGTAGGTTAATAAAGTCAGTAGCAGAACATCTTTCTGCTAGGTTGTATGTTTGTGATGTATGCGGTATAAGCGGTGAAGCTGATGATGAAGAGCAGGGTATCGTGTGGTATGGCTGCGACGAAGACAGCTGTCAACGCTGGTACCATGATGATTGTTTAAGCCTGGCGGAGATGGAATGGGTGCTTGAAAGTCTTAGAGATAGTTCAAGCTGGTTTTGCGGACTTTGCAAGCCATGGTTGTACCAAGAAGAATGAATCTGTGATTACTGTTATGATTGTTATTCTATTATTTTTGTGTTTTGATAAAAGAAAAACAAAACAAAATAATAAAAAAATACTGAATATCAAGTAGAATAAATTATTTATGAAGAATTAATACATTTATTGTGTTATTATTTAATAACCCTTTCACCCCTTTAGAATGAACATTTCTACGAGTACGGATGGATACCCCTATTGGTAAATCTCTTGAACTTGAATCCTTTATTGCTACCACTAATTTGAAACTTACACAAATCGATAAGAAATCAACACCTAACATCACTAACGAAGAAAAATTAGGTCACATAGCACTAAGAAACAACAAAGACTTGATCATAAAAGCTGCTGACAAGGGAGGCGCAATAGTGATTTTCAATAAAAAAGACTATAATAAAAGAAGGATTAAGACAACTAAATGATAAACTTTACTACAGAGAAATTCCTAAAGATCTCACTACTAAGATAACTCAGGAAAAAAAATTCCTTCTTAAAATACCTCAATAAGCATAACCTACTTCCATCTGAAGCAATTTCATTCTTTCAGCCTAAACACTGCAGAACTCCAGTCTTTTACATGCTACCAAAAATTCACAAAGCCAATAATCCAGGGAGACCCATAGTATCAGCGTGTGAGGGACCAACTTAGAAACTATATATCAGAATTCATTGATTTACACATTTAACCTTTAGCGCAGTCGGTAGATATTAAAGACACAAATAACGGTCTATGCAAACTACACAATATAGGTAAAATACCAGCAGATGCATTACTAGTAACAATTGATGTCTCAGTCCTATATTCCTCACCGAGACGGTAAAGAAGCAGTGCACTGAACAAACGCCAATCACAAGAGCCTAAATCATGGATAATATTACGACTTATGTTATCTGTATTGACGCGACGTCAGATCATGGGGCAAACTGCACTTTTTGCTATAGTACAATATCTTAAAGTGTTGTTTTTCCAGGAACTATTTTATAAAATAATAAAAAATATATATCAAAATAAAGGAAAATTTTAACCTGACAAATTTTTTATCATTATGATTCGCCGTTCATTGATGCAGAATTTTGTCATAGCAAAATACAACATCAAACGATACCAAAATCGCATGTAGAGATGTAACGAAAATGTCTGAGTAACAGAAGATTATACTTACATTTTGCTAGAAACTGGCGCCAAAACGTTTTAAAATTCATACTGACGTTGACGTCATCATTTACGCAGATGATGTCATTTGAATTAACGTTAACGTTTGAAAAGTGCGGAGAAAAATGAAGATTCTGGAATGAGAAATTTGTGTAGAGATACAAGAATTGTGTTTAAAGAATGACGGGTAAGAAATTTTAAATGAATGTTTACCTAATATTTAACTTAATATTTAACTTAATTTTGAGATCATTTTTAGATTTTCAAAAATGCGTTTTCAAATCGTTTCTTTTCCTGTTTTTGTTAGAAAATAATATATATAGTTTGTAAATTATGGGCAAATATTTATGTCTAGCGGAAATGACCAAAATTGGAAATAATGCGTTTTATCGCGTCATTCACCTTAACATTTATCGAATAAAATAGTTTTAGCAATGAAACATTTTATTTCAAATTTATTCTAAATAATAGCGTTTTTCTGCTGTGTATGCTGACCAAATTTCATTTTGGTATCATTATTTACCTGCTATAACATGTATAAGTGATAATATTTCTAAGTCTAGCGAAAATGTCCCAAACGCTATTTTTGACATAAAGTAACGTCATTGTGCGTTTGGTTTCAAAAATTATTTAAATATCAAGTTAATTAAGTTACATTTGTATTCATAAGATATCAAATAAAGTCATTTAAAATATTAAGAAAAAGTGGAGAATCTTCTTATTTTATAATTATTTATTCTGTCAGTCACTGCATGATCTTTACAGGTAGATGCATACAAACTTATTCACAAAATGTAATATGTTTCCATTAAGCATGAATCGCGGAAAGCACGTATCGCGAGAATACTCCTGCAGGAGGACTGCGATTACTCGAGATGATGACAAGAAAAGCATTGATGCAAAGCATCAAAGGGCGTCCCAGCAAGAAATGCAGCAGGTGCAGATGAACTAGTAGATATATGATGATAAACTGTTCAATAATTGAGAAAAAATGTACATTTTTATGGCATTAATATGACACTATCAACTTTGAAACATTTTATTTAATTTGTTATTCGTGTTTAGTAAAGATGCCGAGGAATTATTCAAAGTTACAAATCAGATTTTATTAATTATTCAATTGATTGATAATTTAAGAAATGATAAAGAAAAATACAAATGTATATGTATATGGTTTAAGAATAAACAATATTATATATTGAAAGATTAACCATAATTTACTGACTTTTTCCAGTTAAGTTTTGACTTATAATCGTCGGTCATTATGACAATTGAATTCTTAAAATAATAGTAAACGTAAAAACTCAGTATTAAAATAGCGCATAAACACAAAAAAGAAAAGAAAACAATACTCATAAAATCTGTATTTTTTTATTAAAAAAGATATTACAATTAGTGTATAATAAACATTTATGCTCAACATGGTAATATAACAAGTGTCATATTGTTACTAAGTGTGAACAGATACCTTAAGAGGGGGTCTTCGCTAATAGCGATAACATAATAAGGGACAATTACACAAGTGTGGTGTTGATCATGCGTTACTCATATGGATTATAAATGATTGTATACATGTATATCCGTTGCTATTAATAATCACGATCATAAAGAAATAACAAGTAATATTCTAATTTCTAGCATGCCAATCAAATTTATAAATAATGAACAATGTCTTTCATTCGTTCATTCATAAGTGATATACAATTCTGGTAAAAACCAATGAACATATTTATTGTTTTTATCTCATATAGATAAAATAAAACATGTGATTTGTGTTGTTGGTTTTTTTTTCGAATTGTATGTTTATGTATAATAATAAGCAATAATTTTGAGAGTTGATCTGTGTTTATTAATTATTGTAACCAAACTAAGTGACAAACATTCATTTTGAAAAAAAGCTTATTTATCTGTAAAATATTTGTTCTGTTCTGTAACGATATCAAACATCTACTCCAAAACCGGGAGAGACCGGACAATAAACGTGTGGTACTATTCGCCGGTCGTCAAAATAGACCAGGAGAGACCGGGAATTACCGACAGGAGTACATTCCTCTATAAATAGATTTTCGGAATATTTAGGTCATCAACTCATCATTCTATTTACAGCTTTCGGAATAACATACCATAATAATCCACTGTGTACTACAAAATGATAAATAAAAATACATTGAAGAGCGCGATTTATTGACGGAAAAGGTTATTTAATTTGAAAATGTTTGCATTGCGAAATTCTCCAGTTCGCTATTCATTGTACATATCGCGACTAATTAATAATCAAGCACCCTCATACCGATCGGAATGATCGGCTTTTATTATGAACAACTATAAAAGGCTCGAGAAGTTGCTGTCGCCCTTTCACAAAATCTGATTTCATTACATAAAAGGCGCCGCGCTTCGGCGCGGACGCCAATGATGAGCATTCATAGTTTATTCACATTTTTCAGGTGGTTCCAAAAGACAAAATATTCAGAAAAGAATAGACAACAAGAAAGGAAAGCGGAAGAAACAGAAGTTGGATTGGTATAAGAGAAACGCAGCGAATATCAACTACCATCGTAGAAATAAAATACAAGGTAGCTTTTACATTTCTTCCGTATTTTTATGAAGTAAATGTAATTCATTAATAAATTTGTTCGTTCATTCGTTCGTTCGTTCGTCCATTCATTCATTCATGCATTCATGCATTCATGCATTCATTTTCTGTTAATGAACAAGATTATTTGTTGAATCAATCAATCAATCAATCGATCGATCGATCGATCAATCGATCAATCAATCAATCAATCAATCAATCAATTTATCAATCTATCGGTAGATGAATAATTGACTTTTTAAGTATTTTTTAAAAAAAATGATACACTTCCGCCAGCAGTCTAACTTTTTGTCATGAATGTGTTCAACGTTTTAAATTTATTTCCAGATTATTCACAGACGGACAATGCATTGAGAAAACGGTATATTAGACAGACACAAGCGGAGGCAAAAAAGAGGAGAACAGAGTATCAGAGAAAATGGAGGTCGTAGAGAAAAAAGAAAGTCAGTGACATAGAAATTGCAAGCTTTCCAAATAGAATGAAAAAGTTACGAGCTTTGAAAAAGATGAAATCTTCTTTGCCGAAAACACCAACCAAGAGAGCAGCAACAATCGCGGCATATTTTGAAAACCATAAAAGTCCGGTCGTTCAATCCGTAAGAAAGAAATTAATTTCAAATAATGATAGCAGAGAAGATATGGTTTTACTAGAGGCTGTTATGTGCGACATAAAAGAAAATTTGAAACTCAAGAAAAAGAAAAGATCACATGAGGCGAGAATTGAAATGAACTCTATCACAACAACTATTAGTGGAGAGTCAGTCAGTAAATCAAGATGCAAAGTTAAGCTTGCTAAAAAACTAAGTGTTCCAGTTAGAACTATAGCAAAAGGGTATAGAATTAGATCTCAGATCTCCCACGCTGATGAGTCGTGTTTCAAATATACCACTCGCAAAACCCGCAAAGATGCGATATCAGAAGAACTTAAAAGAAAAATTTATGATTTTTGGTGTGCACCTGACAATTCCCATCCTTCAGGCAATAAGAATGACGTAAAACGAGTTAGAACTGGTTTTAAGTCTTACACAAGTCATACAGTACAGGTTTTACGGAAAACTCAAACAGAAATTTACACAGACTTTAAACAAAGCAACCCTGACATTAAGATATCACAGCGTTCATTTGAGCGATGTAAACCATTTTTCATATTACAAGCGACAACAAAAGACAGAATAACTTGCTGCTGCAGATATCATATAGAAATAAAATCTGTATTCAGAAAATGCATGGACTTCAGGAAAAAGAATTGTAATGAATCCCCAGCACCAGTCTATGATAACGTATACGACATGTGCGAGAAAACTTTGTGTACACCTGTAGAAGAAAATCGGTACAAACAGATTTGCCTCGATCGGAAATGCGACAAATGCGGCGTTTCTGATGACCTGTTCTTAACAGAAGAATTAACCACAGATGACAGTGCACCCACAGTAAAATGGGAATGTTTCGAGTACCAAAATATTCAAGTAAGGGAAACAACAAGAAGAAAACTGCTACTCGTAAAACGTGAAACTAAACCAGGCGTATTGTTCATGTACCTTTCTAAACTCTTGAAAACCTTTCCTGGTCATAATTTTCGATCGAAATGGCAGAGTTCTCAGTTTAAAAACATTGTTGATAACTTGCCGCAAAATCACTGTATAACTATTCATGATTACTCGGAAAATTATCGATGTTCTGATAAAATTGAAATTCAGTCAAGTTATTTTCAGAAAACTGAAATTTCAATACATGTAACGCTACTATATCGTCATGCCGTACAAAATACTGACGGCATTCAAAGTACACCTGAAAATCCAGAAATTGTTTTAGAACATTTTTATGTTATATCTGCTGACGAGAAACATGACCAGCATTTTACCCATAAAGTTCAAGAGGAAATATCATTATATCTGCAATCAATAGGCTACAATGTTGACGTAATGCATGAATTCTGTGACGGCTGTTCTGTTCAGTATAAAAGCAGGAACTGCTACGGTGATATTGCCTTTTCCGTAGGATCATTCAACTACAAGACATTAATAAGAAACTTTTTTGAAACAAGTCACGCAAAAGGCCCTCAAGATGCAGCAGGAGGGCTGTTGAAGCGTCAAGCAGATTTAGCAATCTTGAGGGGTGCAGTTGTTATCCAGAGTGCCAAAGATTTGTTTCAATTTGCCCAAAATAATTTGACGGAGACAAAATCCGATAAATGTCAACGGCGGATATTTAGATACTGTGAAAGCATCGACAGATCTACTGCACGTCTATATAAACCCATTCCCGGTATAAGGTCAACCCATCAAGTCATAACAAATGCAAACACTAAACACAGCAAATTACAAATCAGCTGTCTATCCTGCTACGAGTGTACGAATTGTATAATGGGAAAAATAAGCCGGTGTAAAAACATGCACATTACTGGACAGACTACTTTTCTTCAGCCTGAAGCAGACGGCACTTTAAATGGTAATACGTCGCTTGTAGCTGAAGAACCGTCTACGGTGGAACTTATTCAGGAGGGAATGGTCTTTGCTGCACTGTGCGATGACGAAGACTATGATTATTACCTCGTGAGAGCAGATACATCTGCTTTTGTGCTCGGAAAACGTACCACTGATGAATGGGGAACAACATGGCCACAAGGAACGCCTGTTATACGAGGGCATTACTATATAAAGTCTGGAAATAATCCCCTGCTCAATACCTTGCTATGCAAAAACTATGCATTAATTCCAGCAGTTTCTGTTTTGTACATAATTGAAGGGGGGAAGAATAAAAATAAACTAAAATTGAATGAAAATGACCATCTTTCAATTTTGAAAGTTTTGGAGGAACGGGATGCTACAATATAAACAATGTAAATGCATATAAATCCACTCTTAATGTTTTATACGAAGCTAAAATTGTTGTTGTTGTGGCATGTATTTAATATGATGTTATATAAATACATATACTTAGAGCATAAAGCATAACGTGTTGTTTTGAACAGTGTTTACAATGACGTTTGAAATTAAGGATGTTGACGTTACGCTAATTAGCTTCAATATCTGACGTCGCGTCATTACGGAAAACATGCTTTAAATCTAAGAACAGGTATCAGGCAACACAATGAACACTAAATGCGCTCCAAGTTATGCAGTCATTTTTATGTCATACCTAGAAAATCGACTCCTCAACACTCAAAAACTCGATTTCTCGTGGGCGTTTCTCTTGTATGTAAACATTAGGTTTTGACAGTTGACAGATGATGTTTTCAGAGTATGTCATATTTTAGGTAATTGCTTTTAGTCTTATATAATATTTTGTATATCCAGTTTATTTAAACTTTGCATACTTAAAATATAATCTTTAAATATGTTTGTGTGTATGGACAACAAAGTTCCAGCAATGACCTTCATCGTTTTTACAAAGGGGCAGTACCTGGGAAAAGGAAGGCGGACTCTACAGAGAGGGGAACAAAAAAGAAAGCGTGGAGAAACTACGAATCGCACAGAAAAGAGAGAAAAATTAATGATAAATGGAAAGAAGGTCGCGAGTGGCTAAATTACGATGCCGAAAAAGGCATGACATGTTCGTCGTGCTTTGAAATGTATGGGAAAAAACCACCCAAGAACTGCTTATTTTAAAGGGCAAAACACAATTTTACAGGATGTAGAACTTTAGAATTTCGACAGTTATTTTATTAAAGCTTTATCCCATCAGTCAGGTGGAGATTTATGATGACATTTTCATAATTTGGCCACACAGTCTCAGGGAATTGTATTCCTGAAACATGGCCGCTTTAAATAATTACCATGAACTAATAAAATTTACATATGAGCTAAAATCACATGAAAAATACACAACAAAGTTTATTTGTTCCTGGTGTCTTACGCATTATGCACGCCGTGATTCACTGAGTAGACACTCAATAAATATACATGGGTTTGATGAAACTAAATTTGAAACTATCAAAGTCGACAAAGAACCAAGGACAACACCTAATTCAACAGAAACCAAGTTTAAAACATTAAAAAAAATGCCAACATTTAGAATTATCAACAACAGAGGTACTCAACAAATAATCAAGACCAGAAACACTCTATCAACATTATCACCAATAAAGTAAGGACAGCAGTATTAAGACTATGTGAAGATGAAATTGGACAATACAGTTGTATAAACGAACAGATCATTTCCATAGGATAAATATATGGTAGTTTTAATAAAACAAACTAAGTAGGACATATTAACAATATATTGCCAGCAGTCTAAAAATTTCTCGGCAGACTTCCATAATTCAACCAAATATAGTAAGTATGGTCACGTGACTTTTAGTTTGCACATTTTATATACTTCAGGGCTGAAATTTTCAAAATGTTTTGTATTATCCTCATGAAGCTCATTGTTTAAGATCGAAACCAGTAGATAGATAAATCACGTTAACCCACTCTGGTGTTCCTGACGTGTTGTTCTTCATCCCTTCCTAAACGAATGGTTGTTGTCTACATATCTTTGATATGAGTGTACAAATATGTGATTTTCTTTATCTTGTTTAATTGAAGGCCATATTGTAAATAACATACATGTATAACTATGTATTTCTTATTCTAACACTCCTCGTGATTTTGTCGCAATAGACAAAGAGGAAAAAACGGTGTTAAACTGCCAATAAACACCGGTGAGGAACTACGTATGCGGCTGTTATTTTTTCTCCCTCGATTATATAGTTTACAAGGCCTTTTAAAGCAACAATAAAAAGTATCTTCATTTATATTTTCAGTTCTTATAATGTTTTCTTTTCATACAATACCGAAAAAATATCTCACATACACTAACACCACAGATTTGATCCATATCAGTTGATAAATATTTTGACAAAACGGCGCCAATCCGTAAGCAGCATAATGACGTCATCCTAAGTAGACAACTCATTCATAAATCCTGACGTCATTTCAAACATACAAGATTGTAAAATTGGGCACTGATGTAAACACAATACAACTCATTCTAAGACGTAAGTTTTTATTGTTGAAAACTTGATAAAATAACTTTTTTTCTTATTAATTCTTTTGTTATTTTAGCAGCAGTAGGGTGCGAAATCGAACAGCGTTATACGAAAATCGGTACCTACGACCTTCGTGGTCAATTCCTACGCATCAAAACTCAAAACCGGTGTTAAATAGCCGAGAAACACCGCTAAAACCGATATTATTTCTTAATATATTACCTTCATAACATATAAATGTTTATTATTAATTCATTATAATTATAATTATTATTGTTATTATTATTATTATTATTATTATTAACAACAACAACATCTTTTATAATTTACTGATACTTTGTTACCTTTAACGTTAACGTTTGGCGCGGCTTGAGACGCCTCGTTACGTTTTTTTTTTATCTGAACGGAAATGCAATGCTCTTAACAATGCAAACGTTCCTACAAACATCACGGTGCTTTTATTTAAAACGCCGCAATGATTGGGTTTTGTTGTTGTTGTCTTTTTGGTCTTTTTGCTTAATTTGGTAATTCAAATAAAGATATTGAAAATATCTAAAATAAGATTATATAAGTGTAATTATTTCAGTAAAATATGTTTTACATTAATGAAATAACGTCATTTCCTTTATGTATCAACTGATGAAGCTTAGTATACCGCCCATTGGGCGTTAACGAGGCTTGCAGTACTGTGCACGCTGGTATTTCACTGAAACAACTGAAATATCAAATTGATATTTTTCACTGTCAAATAACAATCAAATATCTGTTTTATATTTCACTGATATATTTCTCTAAACCATCGAAAAGCATGTAATAAATGTATACAATTACATTTCTGATGGAGACATTGTATGGTTGCAATTGGTAGTATAGTGTAATATAAATACAGCAAATCAATTCGATTTTTGTGGTGAGTTTCACCAAGCCTTGTTCCACTTAATTTACAATTTAGTCGTGCAAATTTTGTTTATAACAAATTCTTTTCAGTTTTAAACTTGCAGAGACTTTGTTGTTGTTGTCTTTTTGGTCTTTTTTGCTTAATTTGGTAATTCAAATAAAGATATCATTGAAAATATCTGAAATAAGATTATATAAGTGTAATTATTTTAGTAAAATATGATTTACATTAAAGAAATAACATAATTTCCTTTATGTATCAACTAACGAGGCTAATAAAGCGAAACATGTATTGATTTAAATTTGTGTTGGTTTTGATCTATTTGTCGTATTATTTTAGAGGTAAATACTTGTTTTGTGTTTGTACGGGTTTTTTTATTGTTTTTTTTATTGTTTTTTTTTTATTTATTTATTTTTTTTTCTGATGTTTTTTATATAATTATCTTTGTGTTTAATGAAATTATTTATCTTATTAGATCTTTTGTACAGAGAATAAGTTCCCGATTACGTTACATCGATTTGAAGAATAAACGCATTCTCACTGTAGAACCCTTGGCGTTGTGTGTAAGTATACCGCCCATTGGGCGTTAACGAGGCTTGCAGTACTGTGCACGCTGGTATTTCACTGAAACAACTGAAATATCAAATTGATATTTTTCACTGTTTCAAACAGTCAAATATCAGTTTTATATTTCACTGATATATTTCTATAAACCATCGAAAAGCATGTAATAAAGGCTTAAAGGTATACAATTACATTTCTGATGGAGACATTGTATGGTTGCAATTGGTAGTATAGTGTGATATAAATACAGCAAATCTATTCGATTTTTGTGGTGAGTTTCACCCAGCCTTGTTTCCCTTAATTAACAATTTAGTCATGCAAATTTTGTTTATATCAAATTCTTTTCAGTTTTAAACTTGCAGAGACTTTGTTGTTGTTGTTGTCTTTTTGGTCTTTTTGCTTAATTTGGTAATTCAAATAAAGATATCATTGAAAATATCTGAAATAAGATTATATAAGTGTAATTATTTTAGTAAAATATGATTTACATTAAAGAAATAACATCATTTCCTTTATGTATCAACTAACAAAGCTAATAGAGCGAAACATGTATTGATCTAAATTTGTGTTGGTTTTGATCTATTTGTCCTATTATTTTAGAGGTAAATACTTGTTTTGTGTTTGTACGGTTTTTTTTATTGTTTTTTTTTATTGTTTTTTTTATTTTTTTTTTTTTCTGATGTTTTTTTATATAATTATCTTTGTATTTAATCAAATTATTTATCTTATTAGATATTTTGTTCAGAGAATAGGTTCCCGCTAACGTTACTGTATACGTAACGTAGATTTGAAGAATAAAGGCATTCTCACTAGATCCCTTGGCGTTGTGTGTTAGTATACCGCCCATTGGGCGTTAATGAGGCTTGCAGTACTGTGCACGCTGGTATTTCACTGAAACAACTGAAATATCAAATTGATATTTTTCACTGTTTCAAACAGTCAAATATCAGTTTTATATTTCACTGATATATTTCTATTAACCATCGAAAAGCATGTAATAAATGTATACAATTACATTTCTGATGGAGACATTGTATGGTTGCAATTGGTAGTATAGTGTAATATAAATACAGCAAATCTATTCAATTTTTGTGGTGAGTTTCACACAGCCTTGTTTCCCTTAATTAACAATTTAGTCATGCAAATTTTGTTTATAACATATTCTTTTCAGTTTTAAACTTGCAGAGACTTTGTTGTTGTTGTCTTTTTGGTCTTTTTGCTTAATTTGGTAATTCAAATAAAGATATCATTGAAAATATCTGAAATAAGATTATATAAGTGTAATTATTGAAGTAAAATATGATTTACATTAAAGAAATAACGTCATTTCCTTTATGTATCAACTAACGAAGCTAATAAAGACGCGACATCAGATCATGGGGCAAACTGCACTTTTTGCTGTAGTACAATATCTTGAAGTGTTGTTTTTCCAGGAACTATTTTATAAAATAATAAAAATTATATATCAAAATAAAGGAAAATTTTCACCTGACAAAATTTTTATCATTATGATTCGCCGTTCATTGATGCAGAATTTTGTCATAGCAAAATACAACATCAAACGATACCAAAATCGCATGTAGAGATGTAACGAAAATGTCTGAGTAACAGAAGATTATACTTACATTTTGCCAGAAACTGGCGCCAAAACGTTTTAAAATTCATACTGACGTTGACGTCATCATTTACGCAGATGATGTCATTTGAATTAACGTTAACGTTTGAAAAGTGCGGAGAAAAATGAAGATTTCGTGAATGAGAAATTTGTGTAGAGATACAAGAATTGTGTTTAAAGAATGACGGGTAAGAAATTTTAAATGAATGTTTACCTAATATTTAACTTAATTTTGAGATCATTTTTAGATTTTCAAAAATGCGTTTTCAAATTGTTTCTTTTCCTGTTTTTGTTAGAAAATAATATATATAGTTTGTAAATTATGGGCAAATATTTATGTCTAGCGGAAATGGCCAAAATTGGAAATAATGCGTTTTATCGCGTCATTCACCTTAACATTTATCGAATAAAATAGTTTTAGCAATGAAACATTTTATTTCAAATTTATTCTAAATAATAGCGTTTTTCTGCTGTGTATGCTGACCAAATTTCATTTTGGTATCATTATTTACCTGCTATAAGTGATAATATTTCTAAGTCTAGCGAAAATGTCCCAAACGCTATTTTTGACATAAAGTAACGTCATTGTGCGTTTGGTTTCAAAAATTATTTAAATATCAAATTAAGTTACATTTGTATTCATAAGATATCAAATAAGGTCATTTAAAATATTGTTGTTGTTGTGGCATGTATTTAATATGATGTTATATAAATACATATACTTAGAGCATAAAGCATAACGTGTTGTTTTGAACAGTGTTTACAATGACGTTTGAAATTAAGGATTTTGACGTTACGCTAATTAGATTCAATATCTGACGTCGCGTCAATTAAGCGAAACATGTATTGATCTAAATTTGTGTTGGTTTTGATCTATTTGTCCTATTATTTTAGAGGTAAATACTTAATGTATTGATTAATGATTCAATGTTTTGTGTTTGTACGTTGTTTTTTGTTTTTTTTTTTTTGTTTTTTTTTTTTTATATTTATTCTTTTGATGTTTTTTATATAATTATCTTTGTATTTAATGAAATGATTTATCTTATTAGATCTTTTGTACAGAGAATACGTTCCCGATTACATTATAATTATGTAACGTCGATTTGAAGAATAAACGCAATCTCACTAGAACCCTTTGGCGTTGACTGTTAGTATACCGCCCATTGGGCGTTAACGAGGCTTGCAGTACTGTGCACGCTGGTATTTCACTGAAACAACTGAAATATCAAATTGATATTTTTCACTGTTTCAAACAGTCAAATATCAGTTTTATATTTCACTGACATATCAGGGCCAAAACTCCATTTTTGGGGAAGGGGCCTCAGCCTTTTCCTTGGGGAAAATATGCGTGATTTTGGCATACTTTGGGAAAATGGGTCTCAAATTTAACACAAACTTTTTACAAGTTCTTCAAAATAGAAAAACAAAAAGCACCTAGAAATACTAATAAGGCAGTAAAAGACTTTAATTCAACACCATCATTTAATTTTGTTATAAATTCTATGGGAAATTTCAAAAAGCTAGGGAATTTTGAGGACCAAACTGGGGAAAAAAGAGGCTAGTTTGGTTGGGGAAGCAGCCTATAATAGGCCTCTACAAAGAAGGGTTTTTTTGCCCTGCATATTTCTATAAACCATCGAAAAGCATGTAATAAATGTATACAATTACATGTCTGGTGGAGACATTGTATGGTTGCAATTGGTAGTGTCGTGTAATATAATTACAGCAAATCTATTCGATTTTTGTGGTGAGTTTCACCCAGCCTTGTTTCCCTTGATTAACAATTTAGTCATGCAAATTTTGTTTACAACAAATTCTTTTAAGTTTTAAATTTGCAGGGAATCGATATATGGTGAAAGACATCCAGACTGGACCCAACATGATTTACATTCCGAACAAATTTACAGTACTATCAAGAGTGGAGTTTTTTTTTAAATAAAAACGACGTAAAACCATTTTAATTCAACTTTTACATACTGCAAATCGCAATATACACGGCATTGACATAAAATCATTCCACCAAAACAACGTGGGTAAGGTTAACAAAGGATTAAGGACTTAAGGACAAATGTAGACTGGAAAGGACTTTTAGGACATTTCTTCTAATCTGCGCCGGATATGTTCTTTGTAATAAAACGTTTAACATTTTTTTTTCATTTATATAGATTCTATTTCTATTTATTGATTTATTTATTAATATTTTGCTTTTTTGGCATTTTTAGAAAATGGTGTTACAAATAATCAAATAATTATGCTATTGGATGCTTTTATTAAATAATTATAACATTATAATTATAAACTTGCTGAAATCATATAATGTTAACAGCTTTACTTTTAGACAATGAATTAATAATTAAAATTAAATGTTAGATTACAAGGTGTTTTTGAATATTTTTCTTTTTTATTGCAATTTATATTTTAAATTATGTGCCTAAATGGGCACTTTAGTTTACATTTCAAGACTTATCACGGTATCATCATAGGTGTTCGGCGCGTTGATTGGTCACTACCCCCGCCCCCCCCCCCCCCTCACCCACTTTAGTGACTTTACAACCCTCCTACCCCTCAAAACCATGTAAAATCATTTGAAACATGTTTTAACATTTGGTATATGCTTTCAACTCAATTACTTTCATTTCCTACAAAAAAAAAATTGATATGTCGTACACTTTTTAAAATTATCTTGAAGTTAATTTTTTTTTCTTATTATTGATATCATTTTGAAAATTTCATCCTTTGCCCATAAAAACTTATTACCAAAACGTTTTTATCTTAAGTAGGCTAAGTCATACTTCTTGGCGCACTTGATTTAAAGCAACAGGAATGGTCCAAATATAATAAATAGTGGACTCGGTTCCGCACACAAAGCATAATGATTTTTTATACTGAAAGGTTATTTTACATCTTAAACATGTTTTTTAAATTATTTAACATCTCCAAGTCCAGATAAGATATATTTTTTTTGCAAATTTTCAGGACTTCAAATGCACATTCTTACTACAGTATACAAACATTTATTTCCAAGCATAGTAGCACACGGGAAACATGTAACAGCAATGGAAACATACTTTTTTACCACTTGTAGGTAGTAAACACAGACATAAAAATTATTATTGAAAGTTTTTTCATCTATTTAGTTATGATTTGTTCCATTAAAAGTTTGGTATTATTTTAAACAAAAGAATCAAGGTGAAATGACTTATCGTTTGGTAGTTGGGAGAAGTTAATTCATGTGCATATAGATTCTATTTCATAACTAACAGCAAATTTGCCATAACAAAAACATACATTTCTTTTCAAATATATATTTTATGATAATCTTTACTTTAAAATAGAAATTAGCATGGTTTAATTGCTGAATAGGTTGTTTTATGTGTGACCTACACAGCCACGTAAACATGTATTTACATTTTCGTCTGCACTCTCCAGGGAGAGGCTGGGGTGCAAGATCCCTGATAATGAGATTATGTCATATCCTGTTGAAAACATGCCAGTTCAGTGAAACAGAAATGAAAACTGAATAAATTCATTTGAATTTTCAAGAAAAATGAAAAATGGGAAAGTGTGCGGAACCGGGTACTACACTGATTCTTTACAGTAGATCTACAAAAAAATGTATACTTTAAGTTCTGCCTACCTTAAACCTTGCCTCCTCTTGCATCTCTGTTTGTTCTCTCTTAGCCTTTGTTAACGTAGATTTAAATTTGAAAGAGATTTAGTTTGATTTTGAGAAAGAAACTGAGCACCAGGTCCAGTGACGTCACATTTACCATAGCCAAAATTGTCAAACATTAAAAAAGCCATTAAATTTCATAAAATGCAAGAATGAGTTCTTCTATCGAAATGATATATTCATAAATCAACCAACAAAGAAACATAATTATTAATAAACGTACGAGCATCTCTATCTTCTATGTTTTTCTCTCGACAGCGTTTGTTCGTGACAACATCCTCCATATTGAATAAACAAATGAGATCTATGACGTCATATTGTTGGTGATGTGTGACGTCATTAAAGAGCATTCGCAAACTAATTATGTATAGATGCAAAATGATAATTTGGATGTTACCGAGTGTGCTACTTGTAAAACCACCCATTCAATAATATATTGAAAATGACTTGTACACTTATCATTTTACAAGGCCCATCATAAAAACCTACTTTTAAAGTTATTTCTTTTTTTATTTCGCATTAAAGTTTCAATTTAAGTCCCAATTTAACATTAATCTATATCTATAAAATAATAAATATAGATTTAGATAAATACGAGGGACATATCATAATTAGTGGCAACAACTCAATTTAACCATGGTTTGCACGTGAAAGTACATGTGTAATATACCGTTGGTTTCTAACCAACAGTCTAGTTTCGCACGTTTTGCACGTGCATAAAATTTAAGCAAGTCATTTAAATACACGTGCTTTTGTGTACTGGTTGTAAACATGGCCGAGTTGCATTGTGATTTGAGGATGGTGCAAAATTCGTGGGTTATTGGGTATATGCGCGTCAAAAATTAAAACGGATCTAGATTTAGTTTATGGAGAAAATGCCCTTCCATATCGTACAATTGCCAGGTGGTTGTCAGTGTTTAAGGAACAAATGTTAAGGATGATCCCGCCCTTTGACGGCCAATTTCTACGGGCCTAAGTGCGTCATACGTGTTTTCCATCTTGAAAGAAAAGTGAAGGAAAGTGTGCGCCTGTTGGATCCCGCATTTGCTAACTTCTGACCAGAAAAGGAAGCGGGTTGAAAAGCTTTTCGGTCTTATTAAAAAGGTTCAAAGGTCGAGACCCAAGACGCCCGAGAGAAATTGCCGCAGGGGATGAAACGTGGCGTTTTTTATTGTTTTTTATGTTGTTTTTTTTTTTGTTGTTTTTTTTTTTTTTTTGGGGGGGGGGGGTGTTGTTTGTTTGGTTAAATCCATACATGAAATCCTGCCTTCGCGGTAGCCGGTTCGAAACCCGTAGTACTGTCGGAAGTGCTTATTACCATTGTATATAAACAGTATACCCCAGAAACAGTTCAAAATACCTTTTCGGAATGGATTCTGAGGCTGGAAAAGTGTGAAGAGGTCCATGGTGAATATTTTGAAGGACTCTACCAATCATTTTTCACAGGTAAGACTTACATGTATTTATAAAAACGCGCTGCCGTTGCCACTAATTGTCTTGTAGAATTTGTGTTACATTTTAAAGAGATTACTAGCTTTACTTCATTCCTCTTAGAGTTCTAATAGTGGCAGATGACCTGATACCAACCGCTTCACATCTTTAGATTTATCAATATCTTTAGAAGCATTTTATATAATTGTGAATCATGAATAAGTACAGAAAATAGGTTGCAGTCAGATACTTTAGAAAACAAATTTAGATGAAGAACTATTCAATTTAAGGGGTACCGTTCTATAACGTGTCTGCTTTTAAAGGCTCATTCTCTCTTGGCGTAGACATGCTATTATTTCTATTACTCAAAAGATTTTTTTCGTTTTTCTTTTTTCTGATGTATTATTATATTATTTAAAAACTTACTAACTGGCGAATCACCATTACAATCTTTTGGTTTTGTTGCCTTTTGGTATTATTACAGGTACAATAGTTTAGTATTATGTATGGGTGTAAAAATACTACTTTGTTTATTTTTTTCTTACTTTGATGACAAATAGTTTCACATTTAGCACAATTTTCTTCAGGTGATAAGCATCTAATATGCTCTAAAGCCATTATTTCAACATTATAAAACTCATGTTTCCCCTTTAATTTAGAAGGAAAATATATTCGTATCTGAGGCATAACGTGTTTTTTTAAAGCCAATGGTATGAACTTGTTGAATATGTTGAAAAAAAAAACATCTTTCATGTACAAACGAAAAACTTTGATATTAATATAAATGCACCTTTTATTTTACGACCTAGAACCATTTTCTAGATCATTTAATAATGGGAAAACCGTTAACTACCTACATTGTATGTTATAATTATCCAACTTGCGTTTTTATTGATTGCATTTCCATTCAGTTTTGATGAGTTTTGTTAATTGAATAAGTATGTTAAATGCACTATTTACTGTACAGCCTGTAATAAACGTGCAGAAATGAATTTCCCTTATAACATAACTATCTCATTAAGAAATAACAACGAAACACATGTATCAAATTCATTGTTTCATTGGTTCTAAATGCTTGAGAGAGTAAAACATGCTATAAATATCCATATATACTTTATATGTATACCAAAACATGTTCATGCATTTATCGTACATAAACCTAAAACATACAGTTTTTAAACACAGTACAAGATTTCAAAATTAATTAATTTACAAATTATTCAAATATACTAATATGATTAAAAGCTTTTCATAGTTATTACGAATTGGGAAAAAACTCTCAAATCATGAAAACTTGTAGACTCGACGCTCAAAGACTATTTTTAACCCGTTAAAGTTAAAATCCCGTGCAAAATAACACTCCACCTAGTCGAGACTATTATAAACATACAAGGGACAATAATGATCAACTATTTCATACTTCAAACGAAGAAAATTATATTTATAGAAACAATATTATAAAACAACTGCTGTCGGCGTTAAGGAAGCCGTTTAGTTTTGTTTTTTTCCTATCTCTTTACACAAATAGTCATAAAATCTCATTTAGATCTCTTCTAACAAATTGAGTGCTTCGTAGTTTTGTTTTTTGCTACTTGCATTATCTTTATTGTGCCAAAATATAATTTGAAACATCAGTATTTATAACTTGGAAATTCTTTCAACAGGTTATATAAACATGTAATGAAAATTTTATGTACGCAGTTTTAACAATCGTAATAATGGGTGCATTTCTAATTTAGATAAATAAAGAAGAAGAAGAACTTTTTTATTTGCACTAAAGCCCTAAAAAGAGCAATTGACAAAGCATCAATATATATACATACACAAATATAAACATAGCAATACGTGACAAGAAGTCGAGATGGCATGTGTATTCACGTGAAATAATTCTTTGGTAAATGGAAAAGTAGCTCATACACTTTAAGCTGATTCACTCATACACTTTAAGCTGATTCACTGTGCTATATAAAATTACCAAACCAAAGAGCTTCAGGGTACAATATTAAACAAAGAGTGGTTTCACATGACATCTCGCTTGGGAGAGGCAGAATGATGTAAATATTACAATACGACAAAACAATATTAATTTCTATATAATAATAATATGGTTAAACGAGGTTTTGGATGCTCCTACATAATATGTTGATATCATTTAAGGATTTTGCTCTTTCTTGGAAAGGGGCGCTATCCACAAATGATACGTAGTGCTAAATATGATACATTCACCAACACATAAATGCCCCATCGAAAAAAACGAAAAACGAAAATATAGAGCACATGATGGTGATCTGTACATAGCAACGCATTATAAACAGAAAAGATCAGGAGTCTCCATCAACGGAACCATTTTTAAAGGTATCTATTACTAGGTTAATCATCAAAGTACTAAATATTATGCATACACCATAAAGCATTTTGTTCGACAAAAAAGATTGAATTAGTCTAATAAAATGATATAGATATATCTATATATATTTTATCGAGTCACCGTTTTCATTTTTGATGAGTTAACCCTTGACAGAAAGGGTGAATATCAACAGCCGGTTATAATATTTATAATTTAAAGCAATTTATTTTTACAAAACGTTTTGTCTTAGTAAGCATTAACCTAGAATAATGCTATAGATATATCTACATCTAAAATTGGCAAAATCTACAGTGAATCAATCTGTTGCTGACGTTTAATAAAAGCATGATACGTGTAAATACTTAAATTACGAATATCTGTTACATTTTCTGTGTTCATAAGAGAAATAAATTTAAAATTACTAGGGTGATTCCAATAGTATCTCTTGATATATTTTGTACGAAGTTCTTTAAACATTATTACATACAAGTACAAAATGGTATTCATCTTCTAATGAATTACATATATGACAAATTCGTTCATTAAAAGGCACACATTCTGGTTTTCTCCACCTTCCAGATTCTACAGCTAATCTATGAGATGACATGCGTAAACGTGCTAAGCTGTTCTGTACTTACGGATATTTATAACATCTAGATATTTGCTAAAAAATTAAAACTAACTATTGTTCTAAAAAACAGTGCTCTTGTCGAGTTTTCTAATCTATTTATTAAAATCAATCAGCCATATATCTTTTATCCTTTGTTTTAATATCAATAAAAATAGTTCTTTATTTTCAACACCTTGGTTTAACCATACATGTTCAAATCCTAGTTTTATAAGTAAGTTCTTAACATTAGTCACCCCAGTTAGTTACATTTGGTTCGTTAACTGCGTCATTCTTTAACATCAAATAAATGTTTCTAATATACTTTGATTCTGGACATGTACATATTTTTAACCAATATTTTATAACACTAAACATTCTATATGATATCAAACTTTGTCTACCAAGCTCGCCATATATAAAATCATTTTGAGTAGATGCTTTAACACTTAACAATCTTTTACAAAAACTTAAATATGTTCTTTCTACATGTGGGGCTTTATAAAAACCCCATACCTCTGAGGAATACATTTAAAATTGGCATAATTAACTTATCAAATAAATCAAGTGTGTGTTTTGGGTAATAAAATCTGTAAATTTATATAAATATTTATTCATTTTGAAAAATAGCTTTTAAAGCCTGTCCAGCTAATAACTTATCATGTTGAATATATGAACCACCTGACGTAAATAAAACACCTAAATATTTTAAAACGTGATACAATTTCTAATTCCTGATCATTATACAAGAAACGTAAATTCTGCGGTAATCTACCCGCTTTTCTGAACACAATGACTTTAGTTTTTCCCGTATTTACTGTTAATTTCCATCTATTACAAATTCTAATAAAACATTTAGAGAATGTTGAATTCATCTGCACTTTTCGCAAAAAGAATAATATCATCGGCGTATTAACAACAGAACCTATCTTTATCATTCCAACATCAATACCTTCTATACCTCT